TAAAAAGAACATTAGCAAAAGGTGGCAAAATTTCTTATAAGAACAGGAAGAGGTCCCAATAAAATGATTTATTTAAATAAAATAAAAATTTGGCAAAATTTTATTAAGAGCTACATATTAGTTATTTGAATTATACTCTTATAGTTTTCCAATATGTTAATATTTGGCCTATCCCACTAAATTTATATGGCAGTTCTTGAGTAGCTTTGCAATTTTGTATAAGTAGAAAATAATTTTACCAAATTGAATCAATCCATAAAAGCTGTCAGAAAGCACTGAGAAAGAGATGACCTATTAAAATTATGAATAAAGTTCCAATAAGATGGGTGATGGGACTCTATAGAAAAATGGTGGTTAAGGTCTGGGAATGAATTGATGAGGATACATGCTAAGCTCTACCTACCTGGTACATTTCTATTAAGTCTATAAGTTTTGGAAATGGGTACTGAGGGAGGTTTGGGTTAGTATGTTCATAAATGTCAGATGGGGCTCTTCAGAGTTAGGGTACATGCCATGAGCAAAGACAACATGCCAGAGATGAGGTGCCAAGCATTGATGGTGGGGATGTAGGGGACTGCACCTTGTCACTTTAGGTGGCTAGTCTCTTCATGCACCATGGCATACAGGGAACTGTCTATAGTTATTCAGTGAAAGCATACGTAGGAGATGAAACACGTAGTAAGGGAAGCCAATCTGTTAAACCAAATTACTGAGCAAAGCTTTCTTAAGTGTAACAATTTTGAAATCAAGCAAAAAGGAAAAGGTCGGCTCACTTTATTTAAAGGAATTAGCAGAACAAAAATCAAAAGCTATTTCAATAACCAGTGTTTAAAATTATCTAAAACAAGATACACTTTATTAAAAATTCTACAGCAATGAAACAGAGATCTCAATCCCAGGCTTATTTCGTGTGATCCATAGAACTCAAGAGGTGTTTTCAATTCTCAAGGTCTCCTCTTCCTCCATTTTCTCATAAGGATAATAATAAGTGGGATTTATAGATCTATTTCATGGCCAATGGAGACAATTCATACCATTCATTTCACTAAGAGTGAGACCCTGATAATTATACAATAAAAGCAAGTTATATTGTTTATGAACTGACTAAATGACTACCTATACTTTTAAATTTCCATATCATAATATTCAGTCCATTGATGAGAATTATAGAGTGAGGAATAAAGTATAATAAACTATCTATTAAAGCACTGCTTTGTTATGGATCAGGAAAGTGAAAGCTTTAATAGATTTCTAAAGGAATCTTCTGATAAACTAATGTAATGCATGTCAGAGGTGCACGATCTTTTCTCAAACACCAAAAATACATCCAAAGCACAAACAGATCTTGCAATACATAGTTGATCAATAAATGACAGCTAGAGGGAGAGGATGATGAAGATGGCAATGATGTGAGATGAATATGAGGTATATGAATGATGGAGATGACCACTATATGAGGGGGTATTCCCCAAAAACCAGAATTGCACTGGGCAGAGAAGAACTTTCCTAGTATGAATCTTTGGCCCTAAGGTGACTGTGGAGTAACTCATTCTGAGTTAGTGCACTCAGTGGCATTGACTGGGAAGGTTCTCTATGACCATAGTGAATTTTTTCATAAACACAGTTTCACTCGAACCTCGTGATGGCCAATTTAAAAGAACAGCGTGCAGCTGTGAAATTTTGTTTCCTGCTTGGGGAAAAATGCTGCAGAAACTGCTGTGATGTTGAACACAGCTTACAAGGACAACCCTATGGAAAAAATTCAGCTTTACAAGTGGTTTTCTTATTTCCGAAATGGTGAAATGTTGATTAATGACAAACCTCTTTCTGCATATCTATCAACTTCCCAAACAGATGAAAATGTCAACTCATAGTGCATTTGGAGTTGGTTCCAGGTCAGGCTGTTAATCAAGCTTTCTATTCAGAGGTTGTGAAAAGATTGCATAAGAGTGTCCGACTGAAAAGACCTGATTTGTGGCAGATGGG